TAAACGTGATATTCTATAAAACTTGTTATCAATAATTTTGTTGATAAAGTATGTTTGTTATAATTTAGTATATAGGAAATTTGTTGTAATTTACTTCATCAATTTTACTCAATTTTGTAGCAAAGCAAACCCTTCATTTTATTCTTCAATTTTGAAAATATATTTTGCAGCTATAAAGAGTATCTTCTATTTGAATATTTTATTATGTATCTCACTGATATTTTTACACAAATTTTATTGCAAGTATTCTTGCATTTTTATAGCAAATTTTATTAATATTTTCTTTATATAAATTCTTTTACAAACTTCATTACAGTACATAAAAATTCAAAAAATATTTCCAAGACACTTAATTACGAAATTCACAGAAAATTAAAAAACCCGGAATCGCTTCACGTAATTGCAAGGTAAACTAAAAACTGCAGTCGGAGGGTTAAGTGAAACCGTTCTCGCCATACAATAAAAAGCTCCACCGTGTCTCCCTTTTCCGGCGACAAAACGAAAAAAAGGAAAGTCTCGATAAAATGCAAAACTGCGGTCTACCTCGATATCGCGGAATCGAATTTTAAACAGAAAACAAGAGGCGTTTCGTATATGTAATACGGTTCTCGGCTTTTGTCCTTGCCTTGAATTTTCATTCTGTAGCCTCAATTTGGTTAGGTTATTGTGTGCCACAGGATCAATTTCGAGGGTCCTCTTTTGAAGATGCCCGTTCGGAGCGCGGCGTTGCATATTATCCGCTTCTAACGATTGCAAGGAAGGACCTTGAAACAATGATTTATGCGTATCGTCGTGTGTGCACCCTTTACCGAATCAATCTGCAGCTTCCGTGGCCGGATCGGTCAGGGCCGACGCGGAGCGTCCCAATTTCACCGACAGCCACGGCGCGGCACGCCGTTCCGCATATTTATCAACCGCCGACCCTTGTATACCCTCGAACATATTTCTCGTATGGAAATTTGGGATATTTTGGACTTTGCGAATTTTGGAATGTGGGAATTTGGGAATGGGGGGAGTTGGGGAGGTGGGAAGTTGCAAATTTGGGGATTTGAGGATTTAGGGATTCGGGAAATTAGGAATTCGGGGGAGTGGAAATTCGGGAGAGTAGAAATTCGGGGCGTAGGGATTCGGGGATCTAGGAATTCGGGGTATAGGAATTCGGGCGAGTGGGTATTCGGGCGCGTGGAAATTCGGACGAGTGGAAATTTGGGCGAGTGGGAATTCGGGCGCGTGGAAATTCGGACGAGTGGGAATTCGGACGCGTAGGAATTCGGGCGAGTGGGAATTCGAGCGCGTGAAAATTCGAGCGCGTGGAAATTCGGGCGAGTGGAAATTCGGACGAGTAGAAATTGAGGCGAGTGGGAATTCGGACGAGTGGAAATTGGAGATCTAGAAATTCAAGTCCTCCATAATTCGGATCTGCAAGAATCCATAAATTAAAAAATCTAAAAGTACATAAACCCACATATCAAATCTTGCAGAATGTATATAAAATAGTAAAAACCTATAAACCCACAAACCTCAAAATCACAATCATTTTCCACAAAAAGCTATTTTTCACAATTTTTTACACATACCAACCTTTTCTCCACCGAACGTTATAATTCCATTTCTAAAGCGCATGGTTTCACTCCCTGGAGAACTCTCCTCTCGTTACTTTCCTCCCATATGTTTCTTCTATTCCCCTCGTTCTCCAATTTAACTTTTTCTGCACGTTCTAATTTCTTTCACTCACTCATTTTTATCCCCCTCGTTTCTTTTTCTCGGAACTTTTTTTTTCTCTCCCTCTCGTTTCTTTCGATTTTTCTTCGCTCTCCCTTCTTTCCCGATTTTTTAAACTCCTCTGTCTCTCTCGCGGTCGCTTCGTTTTTCTTTCTTTTCACTGGCCGTTCTTTTCACCCCATAAGAATGCAGGCTGCGCGAAATGGCACGACTGCTGGCTGCACACGATTCGCGGAACTGCAGCTGCCGTTCATTAACGTGCGGTTATTAAACTTTTCGTCGCCGGTTTCGGGCCGATTTGCCCCATTCTCTTGCGCGCCTACCTCGTTAAAATTCATTCTTTTACACGTACACAGAAACCTCGCACAGCTATTTTCCAAGTTAATCCACCTCTTCTCTCTCTCTCTCTGCCTCTACTTTGCTTGCTGTTTGGATTCAGAACGATCTCAAATAGCTAGAGAACCGTATGATTTGTGCGAAATCAATGGTGCTTGCTTTCCTATTAAATTTTACTCTCTCGCTGTTCATATTGCGATTTCAATTGTTTCTTCATAACAGTATATTATCATTATAGTATCATTTTTTATTGTAGAATCTTTGTACAACTTCGAAAATCATTCTCTCATTTTGTTCTTATTAGTTTGTTAATTGTTTTTTGTATCATTTATTTAATTGATTTTAACATGTCTCAAATGTACGTATGTTGTATTATTTAATTTGATATAATTTTTAGAAATTTTCTTAAGTTCAAGAAGACTTTTTGTTTTATTGTTTTTTCTGTAATTGACATTTTTGTTTTTAATGACAAATTTTGTCCATTTTCAAATACAACTTTGAAGTTCAAATACAACAATTTTTAGTTGTATATTTCCTTTTTGTTGTTACATTATTTTTAATACAAAGAAATTGTATATTTTAAACAAAGAAAAAATTGCATTAACAATTTTTTTTGTATGAAGGGATTCGATCTCGGGACCCTCGGTTTACGAAGCGGTTACGCAACCACCTGAGCCATTCCCTCGATTAACACGAATTCTGTAACTTAACCTTTTATGCAAATAAAAGCAATTATTATTCACTAAAATAAAATGTCACCGCACTAATTAATGATGAATTATTAAAAGCAACAGATCTGGGCGTAATTAATAATTGAAAGACAAATATCGATGGAAAGCGAGGAAAATAGATATCGTCCGAAGGCGATATAAATTCTCTTAAAGCGCGCTATAAGTTCTCGAACTGCGAAACCAGCTTAATTATAAATTAAAAAAGTTGGGAGCTAGTTTCTCGTTCGTAACGCCGCGTTAACGAAGACAGTTGCTCCTTAAGATTAATTAACATCCCTTTCGTCGAAACGAGGTTATAATACGTCGGTGCCGCGAGTTCTCGGCGTTAAAAAAAAGAAGAAAAGGAAGGTTGCCTTTCCCATCGTTCACGGATGACCCCGTTCATATTCGGTTATCGCTGAAACTATTATCCCGAACGTTTCATCACCGTGTGCGAAAATGAATTTTCCCTGGCGATATGTTGTCGTTTATTGGTCGAAACAATTTCGATTGATCGCGCGACAAAGTAGCTTTGTAATGAGATAAACGTATCATTGTTCCATTGGCATTGATTGTCGAAATCGTTGACGCAAATGGAAAAGATTTCAGTAATTGCGGTGCAAATGTAAGAGACAAACGAACGTTTCCTCCCGTGGAAGGGCAACGAAATTGCTTTAGGTATAATTTTCTCGCCCCCGCACTTCCCTATTAATTAACATGATGATTTAACTCGTGCATACGTACGCTTTACACCAGATATATTTAATATTCCCACGCCCGATCAATTTTCATTTGTTTTCGCCGAACCTTGCTGCGAATGTTTACTCAAATATTAAAGGGTTAAATGGAATGTTTCGGCGTTTGTTTAATCGATCCGTTTGTTGTCGCGCTGGCTTTTATTACATGGAGATAATTCATCAATTATCTGTTTATTGTGATTCGTGCTCTGGAAATCATTTGTGTTATAAATCACTAAATACTTGTTTCATGGATCCTTCAAGTCTTGTATATTCATATGTAAAATATCTGAAGAGTATTATGTTTGAAATTATTATAAAAATTATTACGTTTAGAACTATTATAAAAAAGAAACAATTATTATGTAATTAATAATGTAAAATATCTAAAGAGTATTATGTTTAAAATTATTATAAAAATTATTACGTTTAAAACTGTTATAGAAAAGAAACAATTATTATAAAAATTATTATGTAATTAATAATGTAAAATATCTAAAGAGTACTATGTTTAAAATTATTATAAAAATTATTATGTTTAAAACTATTATAAAAAAGAAAAATTTATTGTATAATTAATAATGTAAAATATCTAAAGATTATATTCTCAAACTCTCTGGTTTAACAAAATTATTAGACTACTCTCTGTACTTTCAAAACTTCTGGAATCCATAGATCCAAAAATTATTGGCTTCCCAAAATCCTGTAGCATTCTAGATCTCTATAAGTCCAAAACTCTGGAATTCCAAAACCTTGCATTGCTAAATCCCTAAGTGCCCAAATCCCTGTATGATTCCAATCTCCACATCCAAAAATCTCTAAGTCCAATCTTGCAAAAATTTCTAAATCCCCAAATCACATCTTCTCTACGCTAAATCCCCAAATCCCTAAATCTTCAATTCCCCAAATCTGCAAATCTGTCAATCCTTATTTTCCAAGTTCCTAACTCCCTGGAACTTCGCATCCCTAGATCGCTACATCCCCAATAGAATAACAAAAGAATTCATCAATGTTGTGTTGCAATACGTTTGCGTTCGATAAAATGCGATTTCAGTTAATCGTAAAGGATTTACGAAGCACACTGAAAAGCAAGAGTAATAGATTCGAGCAACGTGTAAAAAAGAGGAGCAAAAATACTGCGGCCCATTTAAATCTGTAACAGTAAAAACATTAGTTTTTCGCGTACGAGGGTGCAATCTCGCGGTGTACCACCATGTTGGCGCGAATGAATTGACCCGTAAATTTCAAACACGCCGGCCAGCGAGAAAAATACGCGTTCGGAAAAACGCATTGGTAAAACGTTGCTGGAAATATTGCAGTCGAATTCGGGAATGTACAATGGAAATTGATTTTCCTATAGTAGGGCATTTTTTCGATGAGATTGTTCAAAGCTTTTTGCCTAGACTTTGTGATTTAAGAAGATTAAATTTCTGTAGGTTTTAGTATGTTTATGATTAGGCAAGGTTTTTAATGGAGATGTAATTTTTGTTTGCAGAATGAAGCTGTGGTGGAGTTTAGCGTTAGTGGGTATCGCTCTGTTGACCATCGTCGTCACAGCCAGGGCGGAATCTGATCTCTGGGAGGAGGATGACACGGAAGTTCTTGTGCGAACTGTTCGCGGCACCAAAGAACGAGGTATCAAGACTTAAATTACATTAATTATTACGTGGGTACACTTTTAAGTAATTTCGAGGATCAAAGTCGTACGCGTTCAAATTGTATGCATCCAAATTCTGCGTGTTTAAGTAGTATGCAGTCATATTCAAGTTTCTGCAGAATTAAGTGCAACGCATTTAAATACTTTGCTATCAAATTCAAGGCATCTAAGTTTCTATACAATCGAACTCAATACATATGTGTTCTTATAAGATTCAATCCCTTCATCTTCCTACGCATTCGAATTCAACGCATCCAAATTTCTACACAGTCAAATTCGTCACATCCATATTCCTACCCAACCAGATTCAATGCATTCATATTCCTATGCATTCAAGTTTGATACATCCACAATCCTACGCAGTCAAATTCAACTCCATCCACATTTCTATGCATTCGAATTCAACGCATCCAAATTTCTACATAGCCAAATTTGTCACATCCAAATTTCTACATAGCCAAATTCGTCACATCCATATTCCTACCCAACCAGATTCAATGCATTCATATTCCTATGCATTCAAGTTTGATACATCCACATTCATACGCAGTGAAATTCAACTCCATCCATATTTCCACATAACCAAATTCCTACAGCAGGTCTTATAGCTCTTACCAAATTTGTCACATCCATATTCCTACCCAACCAGATTCAATGCATTCATATTCCTATGCATTCAAGTTTGATACATCCACATTCATACGCAGTGAAATTCAACTCCATCCATATTTCCACATAACCAAATTCCTACAGCAGGTCTTATAGCTCTTATAGGTCTTACATTAGGATGCACAACCAAATTCGTCACATCCATATTCCTACTCAACCAGATTCAATGCATTCATATTCCTATGCATTCAACTTTGATACATCCACAATCCTACGCAGTCAAATTCAACTCCATCCACCTTTCTATGCATTCGAATTCAACGCATCCAAATTTCTACACAGCCAAATTCGTCACATCCATATTCCTACTCAACTAAGTTCAATACATTCATATTCCTATGCATTCAAGTTTGATACATCCACATTCATACGCAGTGAAATTCAACTCCATCCATATTTCCACATAACCAAATTCCTACAGCAGGTCTTATAGCTCTTATAGGTCTTACATTAGGTCCAATGACCTAATTGAACGCACCCAAATTCTTCACAAATAAAATCAATGCATTAAATAGATACACAGATACATTAGGTCAAATGATCTAATTTAAAGTACCTAAATTCTTCACAACTGAAATCAACGCATTGAACAGATACACAGATACATTATATCAAACTAGTAGGCAAGTTAGTCGTTGACTGAAGTTAAGTTTAAAAAGACTCTGTTTTTAATTATTAAATAATAATATTGGATTTGGAGGAATATTATAAAAATGTGTGTGATGGTGTAAGTATTATTATGTAGTTGTTTGTTAATATTGTTATTGTTGTTGTGGTGAAACAGAAGAATCTACTAAAACGAAAGGTAGATAAAAGTCAAGAAGACACAGCTAACAGCCAGCTTCTTGCCTTTATTATTATATAGAGATGATTTAATTCAACGTACCCAAATTCTTCACAACTAAACTCAACGCCCTGAATGCATTTTTGAATACATATACACATTCACATTCCTAGACAACCAAACACATACGCATCTAAATTGTACATATCCCAAATCCCATACATCCACATGTTACTCCTCCAAATCTTCCTCATTCAACCCGTACAAAGTTCTATGCAAACTTGTACGGGTCCTCCACTGCAGATCCACGCATCCGTAGCAAAGTAACCCTAGTTCCAAAACACCGAGCAAAAGATACAAGGCACGAAAGAGAAGAAGAAGAAGGAAACACGCAGGCAGCAGAGTGGAAAGTTGTAAGCCATCGCAGATTCGCCCGTGTAATTCAACGTGATCCCCGAAGTTGGAATTTCAACGGCAGCCGCGTTCTTTCGGCGACTTGTTCCAGCGTGAAAGGAGCTGGAAGAAAGAGTTCTCTCTCGTCGTCCGTGGCCCGGAAGCTCGATCCTGGCCCGAATAAATTTCTAAGGCCAAATAATCTTAGTCGACAATGAAACGGTGCGCGACGTCGGATGATATTTCAATTGTATTCTCGGCCGTAGGCAGAGGAAGCTCGAAAGATGAGAAAAGAGCTGGCCAACAGAGACAAAAGGACGCTTTTCATCCATACCTTCTCCCTGGAATCGCGATACCTTCGAATCTTCTTTTATGTGATCGAACCTTCTTGCCGCTCTTTTACCTGGGATCTTTGCGTAATATGATGATGTTGGTCTTTCAATTCACAACTGTAAATTAGGGGATGAAGTGGATTGTTTCAGTGTTTAGATAAGTGCAACTGGAGTAAAATATAAGATTTTGGTTTATAATCGCTGTTAAATATTATAGGTTTGAAATATGTATTACAAGTTACTATGTATATTACAAATTCATGTGTTATACAACTTGAATTTTGTTCACTTTAATGTTGTCTTTTAGGACAAGTTTGAAAATATTTTCTGTAAAGTAGACTAGGATAAAAATGTTCACACAGCACCAAACACAAGTTAACAGACGGAATATGAATGCATTAAACTTGGTTGAGTAGGAATATGGGTGTGACGAATTTGGCTGTGTAGAAATTTGGATGCGTTGAATTCGAATGCATAGAAAGGTCGATGGGTTGAATCTGACTGCGTACGTATGTGGATGTAAATTATTTCAATTTGAGTTTCATTTACTAAATTTGCATATGTAAGATTCTAATTCGTAAAGTTTGGATGCGTACAAATTGTACATACATCAGTAGATGTATAAAGTGTAAACTCAATGAGTTTGTAACTATGAACTTAAGTATAAAAATAAGAACTCAAAATACCTGAATAACGGGTAACTAAAAATTTAAAATAATTCCAATACAATAAGATAAGAAAAAAATGAGATAAAAATTTGAAAAGCATTAGAAGGCAAAATGAAAAGAAGCTGGTCTTCTAATTAAGAGGTCTTCCTCCTCGTTCGGAAATTTCTCTGTCTACTTGATCGGTCGTGCCTCCAATTATCTTCATTGACGTTTTGCATCTGTTGACGCAGCATCCGGCAGCACTTCGTCGTGCAGATACGTGAAGGGTCAATGGTCGGAATGCGACTCGAAAACCAACACACGGTCCCGTACGCTGAATCTTAAAAAGGGAGACAGCAGATCCTGCGAGCAAACCAAGACTATACAGAAGAAATGCAAAAAAGGTACTTTCATTCGTTTCCCCGATTATCTTTCGAATTTAATTGTTCGGGTCATTAGATACGCTTGTCTCAGACTTTAATAATTAATACTTTCAAGAAAGTCCTTTAGACATATTCTATTAGCAATGTGATCGTTTATCAAAACGTTTGATACGTTCTGGACGATCAATAAATCAGTTTCCGTCTTCGTTAATTACGACATTCTGAGATTCTCGTTAATTAGTGCAGTTTATTACGTTCCAATCAAGTTATCTCCGGAGAGAGAGTGCTATTAATACCTCTTGGTGTGACGACACACCTCGTGCGTCATGTGCCCTATAAATCCTCCTGTGCTTGACATTCAGGAAATTAAAAATTTGTTCTTTTATCATTTTCTACAGCTTGCCGATACGAGAAGGGCACGTGGAGCGGATGCGTGAATCAGCAGATGACGAGAGAGGACCATTTGAAGGCGAATAGCGATGCTTCCTGCGAGAAGACGCGTCGACTCACCAAAAGGTGTAAACCAGAGACCAATACCAAGAAATCCACCAAAGGTAGTATCTTCTTACAAAAATTATAGGAGTTTGCTTCAGGAATTTTGGAGTAAAAGTTCAGATATCTGGGAAATTGTTTGGTAATTGAATGTCTGGTAATTTGGTCAGGAATGTGTAGAACTGAGGATTCAGGGTCTATAAATTTCCAGACAATAGGAGGTTAAACTCTTGAATTTGAGAACTTTGGTACTTCTTAATGTATGTATAAATCTAGAGACTTGAATTAAGAATTTAGGAATTTCAGAAATTTAAGAAATAAAAGAAGATGTGTATCCATAATCTGTAAATAGAAGAACAAACTGCAGAAGTATACAAAAGTTCAATGCAGTTGATGACCTCCTCCTTTGCTATTAAAAAAGATGTGTATCCATAATTTGTAAACAGAAGAACAAAATGTATAAGTATACAAAAGTTCAATGAAGTTGATGACCTCCTCCTTTGCTATTAAAAAGATTTGTATCCATAATCTGTAAACAGGAGAACAAACTGCATAAGTATAGAAAAGTTCAATGCAGTTGATGACCTCCTCCTTTGCTGTTAGTAAACATATATCTGTAGGAACTTGAAAAATTTAAGAATTAAAAAATTTGCAGATATGTAATCAGTCTCCATAATCTGTAAACAGAAGAACTAAAATTTGAGAACTTTGGTACTTCAAGATCTACAAATACTTGGACTAAGAATTTAGGAATTTGAAAAATGTAAGAAATTAAAAAATATATAAATGTGTAATCAGTGTCCATAATTTGTAAACAGAAGAACAAAAATGTGAGAACTGGTACTTGAAGATCTACAGATACATGAACTAAGAATTTAGGAACTTGAAAAATTTAACAATTAAAAAAATTGTAGATGTGTAATCAGTCTCCATAATCTGTAAACAGAAGAACAAAAATTTGAGAACTGGTACTTGAAGATCTACAGATACATGTACTAAGAATTTAGGAACTTGAAAAGTATAAAAATTAAAAAATTTGTAATCAGCATAAACAGAAGAACCAAGAGTACACAAAAGTTGAATGAAGTTGATGACCTCCTCCTTTGTTGTTAGTAAATGTATCTGTAGGAAAACGGCAGTTACCGATGCAACGTAAAAACTCAGAAGTTCCTTGAGATATTTCATTGAAAGACGCAACAACCCTTTTGTGTGAAGCACCGTGTGGTGGTTACACTCGAGATTCACGCCGGTGTCACAGCACCTCCTCGCTCCGTCGAGCACACACTTGACGATGGCATTGACAGAGTTAAAGATAGCTTATTGAAAGTTCTCGTTGCGGTCACGGACAATGGCGGCAATAAATGTTCCGTACAAATGTTTGAATAGAGACGAGAGCACACGCGTTTAGAAATGGACGCGCTCTGTTCCTCGTAATGACCTTTTTTCTCGTTGAATGGATTTTCTTTTCTGAATGAACCCTTTTGTTCTAGATTGTAAAACAGCCTTACGGACCGTATAAAGTAATTGAAACGAGGCCTTTTCCCTTTAATTTACGCTTTTGAATAACCTCTCTCGTAATTTGTAAATTATCATCGACGGTCAGCAATTAAGAGGGTAACTGCGTTTGCTCGACGCAAATTAACATGTCTGAATCGTGACATCTTTAACTATCGTTGGATGTTGATTCACTATCAAAGGAGTAGAAATGTTTGTCTAAGAAGATAAAGAACGCGTATGCTAATTTATGTTAATCTGGTTTCAGGTGAACGGTCGAACAAGAAATCGGGTAAGCAGTAAGCGAGGAAAATCGTCGATCGATCGCTCCAAGTGGTATGATCTGTTTCGGCAACAGGCAACGAAAAACGCAATCTTGTCTTTTTCCACGAAACTATAATTTCTTCGAGCGAATACTGTTTATAGCATGAACGGGGATGGAACGTTCCACGATTCGAAGTACTGGCAGTGATCATAATTAAAAAAGGAAAAGCATTTTTAAGTACTTTGTCTAGGAAGTAACAATTATAGAAACGTGTGTGTACTCGGCGCAACGATCTTCAATCCGAATTTTTCATTGCTTTCGAACAGTCGACTGTCGGTACATGATCGATCGTCGGTAATTTTGTTGTATTCAGAATTACCTCCGTTGTACGTGGCCAAACGTTAATTAATCGTGATATGCCGATTTAATGAGCGCATAGAATCTCCTTAGCGATTTTGCCGACGCTGAAATGACCATGTACCAATTTATTGCGTGTGAATATTATATGAACTACGTTATCGACGCAGTAGCACGGGAACAATTCGATTTTTAACTGTGTTCCAACCGTTCATTGCATTTATTATAATAATTTCTTAGGACGATGTTATTTTTGAAAAATTAGCTGTGCTACTGTCTCGATGATCACAAGCTGTAATAATTATATAGCAATACGCTATGGTAAACGTGTAGTTTCGAGAATCAATACGAAACGACTGCCGTTGAGATTCTTTACGAAATATATTCTTGCTAGAGTTAAAAGAAAATCCCATTCGAGTTTTCCAACGTTACGTATAATTGTATGGATCATAGCGTGCATAGAAGTCCCGGTTAGAAGTAGTTATTCTTTCGAGACAGTAGGGGAATCGAAAGAAAGACAGATGATCGTGCGATCTCTATGTTTTTAAGGTACACCCGTTAACTTCCTCGTCTTCCTCTGATTAAAGGAAAATATAGAAATGGTGTTGAGCATTGTTTAAATTTCTATCAAGAGTTTCGTGCGCATTTTGATCCCTCTTCGGTTTCTAATCGACAGTGTTTACACTTAAAACCAGGTACAATATTTGTGGATAAAAATATATCTTCTCGATTGTCGCATAGATAATATAAAAGTGTTCGATGTTAACTATGTCTTATGCTAATGATTTCCAAACTTCTTGGGCGACTTTGCGTTTCGACGGTGTCTAAAAATATTCTTTAATCAAACTGTACGCCGATAAAGAATGATAACATTCCTTTTTGTAATACGTAAATGTAAACATTTTGTAAACAAATAATTGGAAAATATTTGTGATACACCTTATGGGATACGAGGAGATAAACGATTAGAGTTACTGCGTCCTTAAGTTTGGGAATCACTGTTTCAAGTAATAACCGCAATTTTATAATTATTACCACTTCTCCAACGTATGTAGGAAAGAACGAAACTGGACGAATAACATTGCTTTCCCAGAAAATTATCGTACATTGATATTTTTCATTTTTAACAAATGTAATTTAACTTTTAACTTTAACTTCGGTTATATTTATATTTTACTGCAGAATTAATTTTCAATGTATCTATAAGAATATTGTTAAGTATAATTAATATTTCATGCCATAACTTTATATATTTAAGCAATAATTTTCTGGATAAAAAGAATGTTATAGGTAACAGTTTCGCTCTCGCCCCAGTACGGTCCTATTTTCGAAAAGACATATTCCCTCGCATAAAAATCGAAATGTCGGTATATACAATCATTATATGTGTCTCGTAATTATCTCTGAATGGAAAACTTTACTAATAATAATACTAACGAAAGCCAAATGAGCATAAAAATCAAATTAACATAACGCAAAGTATCAGGCGTCTCGTAGGTCCGGCCGGCTAATTAGGTTAATTAGAATTCGTCTCTACGAGACGTGACGGTGAAACTATAGAAATCAAACCCTCCCCTCCTTCCCTCGAATACAAGATTGTATTTGTTTTTAAGTCTAGATGTATAATCAAAAAAAAGAATGAAGCTCGGTAAGCAAACGAAAGCTAATTCCAGGTATATATAACACGGTGTATCTGTATAAAAGCGTTCGGTGAAACATTGAATCCGATCAAACAGTAATTGATCGGTATCGATGATCATAGACTTAGATTACGTATGTACATCATATCACCATTTAATGGGTTAATGAAGGGAAAAAGGAAAGAAGGAAACGAATCTACCGATAGAGTAAGATAGCATTTATCTACGTTTTATTATTTCTTCTAATTAGCTATCATTAAACGTTTACTAAAGCGTAATTAAATATAACATGCTTGAATTCTCCCTCTCTCTCTTTCCCTCTCTTTCTTTGTGTGTGGAACTTGATGGAAGTTCGTTCTTTAACGCGTCCGCTGAGGAATCGCGCGCCAGCGTCGGCTGTGATATTAATATTATTAATATTAATACCAATGTTGTTATTAATATTAATATTATTCTTGTTTATTTTCATTCGCCCGTTGAGTGCCCCTCGATTCGCAGCGAACGCGTTAAACGCATTGTAACATAGCTAGGGATGTGCGAATCGTCTCGAGTCTCATTTCCAGACGAGATACAAAACTTTGAGCGAGATCGTGGTGCTCTGAGTCAGCGTACGAAGCAGTCTCGCTATATGGCCGCATCAGTTTATCGAAGTCCTACGAATTCTAAATTTCACAGTTTTTGAGTTTCTGAAAAAATATGAGAATCTAATTGAAGATAAATTTTTTAGATGTTGCTTCGTGTCAGAGCATCTAGATCTCAGCTGATCACGCCCGAAGTTTTCTGTCGCGTTGCGATCTCGACAATTCGGGAGCCCGCACAGCTCTAAACATAGCATAATAACAATAGAAGATACGCTGATAGAAGATAATTACCACCGCCCTTCGATGCGAGTAAAGTATCATGACGGAGGAAAATGTTGCTTCTTTTTTTTCAAATTTGACTCATCGCTGTACTTGCAACATAATCAAAAGTCTTTCCAAGGGTGTATCGATCGTTCGATTACGATGTTCAAGTTTTTCGATCATTATATTCGTGTTGATAGTTTACCTCGTTGGAATCGAATCAATAGCGGACAATGATATTTTGTTCAGCGTCTTTCCGATATTAAATAGCGAATCAAATTTTGCGTCAGATCAAAAAGCCCACGTGTATTAGTTAAAATGTTTACGAAAAGATGTTTTTGAAAAAAGAGAAAGTTTTTTAGTTGCCTAGGCAATCGAATCAAATTTATATTTCCTAAAATCAAATATCTTCGTAGCTCGTGAGAAACTGTCAGTGATTTATTTACAAACTGACGTTATAACTGAATGCAACAAAAATTGTATAATGTATCTACTTACTTATTAAATCATTGTGTAACCGTTACACATGTAATAAAAATCCAATGTTGTCAATAAAGACTAAATATTATATACAAGGTGGATCAGTAATTGTTAAAACCACCATTACTCCCTATTAGTTAAGTTATAATTAAGGTATGCACTGTATGAAAAGTGGTGAAAATAAAGAAAAATTTATCAACAATCATTGTGTATTTATTGTTACCTCACAAACCCAATAGAATAAAAATTAACATATTTGGAAGAGAGAATTTGTATCACGAGAACATGAGAATTCCTGGAATTTGACGTCACCAAAATTCTAAGAAGTAGCATGACAGATACCTCTTCATAACTTATGTTCTCCTGATACAAATTTTCAAAAATCGCGCCTCGGGAATTCTTAGAATTTGACGTCACAAAAATTACCAGAAGCAGCATGACAGATACCTCTTCATAACTTATGTTCCCCTGATACAAATTTTCAAAATCGGTCACTGGAATTTCAAAAATCGAGCTTCGGGAATTC